AAATCCAAAAAAATATCCATAATTTCTGGTTTTGGATGAAAACGTAAAGGAGGCTTCCAAGTAGCAAAGCAGGGAAGATAAGGGAAGGCAGGAGAGGGGAAAAAACATCTTACTTCTCCGAGAGCAGAGGCAAAAAAAAATAAATAAATAAAAATCATTCAGTGTTTCATAAGATAACATATTAACAATGATTCCCTTGCAAAAGAGATTCTTAATCTCAGTGGGATTTTCCTGGTGAAATAAAGATTTAATAATAAATAAAAATAGATCTACTGAATAGATAAAATTTTCAAAGCTGATTTTGCTCAGTCAGTTTGAACTAGGAGTATGTGGTACAGACAACTCTCAGCTACTACCACACCTAGTGTTTACTCAGTAGCTTTAAAATGGAGCTGTGCTTGCTTAGACTGCTCAGCTATAATAGCCATTTAGAATAGTGTCGTTTTGATCAATTTTTACTGTTGATTCATGAGATATGGTACAGACACAGAAACATCTCATCACACTTACAAGATTAAAAACATTATTGCCTTCGGTGGAGTGCTGTGAACAGAAGTGTTTTTATGGTGAACATGAAATTATATCCTGTGCATGAGAGTAGTTTTACGCAAATATTTATGCTGTATAATTAAACATCCAAATGACATGTTTTTATATTTTATCAGGTTTTCTGTGTAAACGTATTTAAAAAATGCTATGCTTTCCCCTTTTTCCTTTCAGTAGCTTTGTCCAAATGTCTTCAGTTGTTTTTCACAACTATTTCTACTCAGGCAGAACATCCATCAGTCATTCTAACAGGCACAGTGTCACACTCTCATTTGCTGCCTTCTTATTGCATCAAAGCGATTGTTTATTTGCCTAAAGGCTTTCTTTACTGCAGCGTGGGGAACAGCTCAATGAATGAGAAATGAGCTTGTTGGTGGAGCTTTAGGCKGTTTGGTTTGTGTTTTCCTCTGCTGCACCTTTGAATTATAAACTGCACTTTAAATTGATGCAAGAATTTTGACATTTTGTCACTCTGCATTAGAAATATGTTGTAATATTAGTCACTAATTACAATATTTGAAGAGCCTTTTTCATTGTGGTTTCCTAAAGAAAAGCTGCTAATGAATATATATA